ATGCATTGACAAAGTTAAAGGCTGCGTTGTCTTCCAAGGTTTCTAGCATCTCAAGGCACTGGTCCAGTGCTGAAACTAATGGTCCAGGTTTTTCTGTTAAAAGCCTGCAAAAGAAAAATCACTCAGTGCTACTGATATGAGAAAATAGAGTAATAGTATGAATAAAATTAATCTTGTACATGGTAGCCATGGTAACAATTGTAGCTAATCACTACCTGATTGGAAGATCAAATCCAGTATCTCGTAGAGCATTTAAGAGGAGAATGGCCTCACTCGTGTGCTGGGACAAACTTGCAGCCCTAATAAAGCATGTCCATATTCTGTGATCTGGTTCCAGGCCCTCTTCCTTCACTTGTTTCAGTTTCTGAATTCCAGCGTTGTAATCTCCATTTCTGAGATAAGCATCAATAACAGAACTATATGGTAGCGTACTGAGATTTGAATCTGTCTCTTTCAAATTTGAGAGCACCTTTTCCGCCTCCCGAGGCTGCCCAGAGCTGCCATAGGAAACCATAAGCAAATGCATTGTGGCAATAGTGGGTTCCACTCCTGCATCTTTCATCATGCTAAATAGCCTCTGAGCTTTAGAATGACTTCCAGAATTTCTATATATTTTCATCATTATATGATAAAAAGAGCGATCTAATTTACATCCTTTTGACTGTAACCCCTCAAAAAGTTCCTCTGCTTCCTCCACCAACTGTTGCTTGCCAAATGATGCAACTAAGCTTTTGTAGGTATCCAATTTAGGCTCCAATCCCACCGTTCTCATTTCATCCATCAGTACCAGACCTTCCTTTGGTCTATGATCTCGGCAGTACATCACAATTAATGTATTGTAAGTGTCTTCATCTGGCTCCAGCCCATCTTCCTTGATCCTCTGGTAAATTTGAGTTGTCTTTCTAAAATCATCAATTGCTACATACATCTTGAGCACAGAATTCCATATAGAAAGATCAGGCTTGAATCCTGCTTCTTCCATCTCAGATAGCATGGCTTCAACATCCCTGACCTGTTTTCCCCTGCATAACAGCTGAGCCATTACCCTGTAGAGATGCATGCTGGGAAAATAACCTGCAGCCTTCATTCCATGGTATATTTTCTTCACTTCAAATATGTTCCCTGCCCTTGCAAATGCATCAAGCATCAAAAGAATAGAACTTTTGCTAATTTTAAAACCTATATCTTGCAACTCCTGGACTACCACATAAAGTTCTTCCAATCTTCCATCAACAATCAGAGCTTGCAAGAGACCATTAATGGAATCTACAGTTGGAGAAGGGCCATCTCTCATCATCGTATTAAAAACAGCCCTGGCTCGCTCATAACAGCCACTTGCAGCATAAGCTTCTATTAAAGCATTCCAGACTTTACGGTTCACAGTAATGCAACTTTGTCTCATATTCCCGGCTACACTCTCTGCTTTCTGCCATAGCTTCAATCTTCCATATGCCTCGATCACATTGACATAAACAGATATATCATTCAAAACTGTGCCATCTGTTTCTGTGAGATCAATTAGATGATGGGCTGTTTCCGGGAACCCCATTTTACAATACAAAAGCATCATGCTTTGGTACAGACACTCAGATGCTTTGATACCACAGAACCTCATGTCAGAAAAAACCTGAGAAGCTTCAGTAAAAAGTTCATTTTCTAAACAGCATTGAATCAAAGCTTCAAACATGGTAAAACTCCCAGTAAAACCAAGTTCTCTACTATTACTGTATTCCTTCAAAGCAGTATCTAACTGCTGAGCCTTGCAAAGCATAACAACCAAAGCTTCAGTAATCATTTGACTGGACCTGGGAGTACGTTCTTTCAATAATTCAAGCAAGTCAAGTGCCACAGAGTGCCTCCCAGATGAACTATACGAACTCAAAATAGACAACAAATTCTCACGGTCGATTTCATAGCGATCACTGATTGCCCGTCGCAGCATTTTTGCAGCTTCATCATAGCAATCACCCTTGACGAGAATGGAAGAAATAGCTTGCGGGTTCATGCCACATACTTCTTCCATATCTCTGACAACTCTTCCAATATCTTCCACTTTGTTTGCATTCCCAAGAGTTCGGAGCATCAACTCATAAAGGGAATGTTCCGGCATAATACCATCATGAACCATTTCCTTGTAAAAAGTCATTGCCCTCTTCGGCTCATTAAATCTTAGATGGATGTCCAGCATAACCGAGTATGCTAGTTGGTCAGGCCTAGTTCCAGACCTGAGCATGCAATCAAAAGTCTCTTCAGCCTCCACTGGTTTCCCGGCCTTGGCATACCCACAAATCAAAGCACTATACGTCCTTAAGCTAGGTTTAACTCCTGTGCTCAACATCTCGGACATCACACCAGCAGCCTCCTCTATTTTGTTTGTCTTCCCAAGCGAATCAATTAAAACAGTATATGTAATCACATCAGGATTCCGGCCTGATGACTTCATGTCCCTGTAAAGCTGTAATGCTAGATCATTCTGACCTTGCTTACCATACATGTGGATCATAGTGTTGTAAGTCATCTCATCTTTGCCAAACCCTATTTTCACCATTTCCTCACATATCTCTTTCACTTTCTCCACATTCCCTTCTCTTGCGAAAGCATACAGCAATGAATTATAACTCACGGCATCTGGAAAAAACCCTCTCGACTCCAGATCATTAAAAAGCTGTTCTGCTTTGCCAGACAGTCCGCATCTTCCATAAACTGAAATCATGGCATTGTAAGTCCACAGATCAGGTTCGCAATGATGTGCCACCATATCATCAAAAACATTAACAGCCTCCTCCAAATTCGATGCCCGTGAACAAGCACTGATAAGAGTATTATAAGTAATTGTATCTGGTCTAAGACCCGATCTTCTCACTTCAGTTAATAGCTCAATGGTCAAATTAGGCGTCATTTCACCTGCTTTCAATCGAGCATTTATCAATGTATTGAAACTAACAAGGTCTGGCTCACACCCTCTTTCATGCATCAAATCAAACAGTTCTTGGACCTTATTAAACTTACCACTCCGTGCATATGCACCCATCATGGCATTATAAACTTGCACAGTATTCCCAACTGAAGGTTCTGCCCTAGTAAATACTTCCACAGCCAATGGCTCTTGATTGGCCTTTCCCAAAACAGCCAAAATAGTGGATAGCATCCGCGCATTGGGGGAATACCAATGGCGCAAATTCAACCACTCATAGACCTCCAATGCCCGGTGCCAACTTTCCTGGCCCACAGACTTAACCACAAAGCAAAAATCAGTTGGTGTCAACTGCACTTTCCTATCATCGAGAACATCAGCCACAAACTGGCCTTGTTTCAATCCTAATATCCTGTCAGTCAAATATTTCACCCTCTCCCTCCAATCTCTAGCCTTCCTAAGTGCCAGTTTATTCATTTTCTTAACTCTAGTCCTACTTTGCCTGCACCCCAACTTTTCTTCTTCATTCCCATCATCATCTACATCATCATTCAATTCAAGAGACCCTACACCCAAGATTCCATCTTTAGACGTTTCAGCCAATTGGGCATGTGAGGAATGGTTCAAGATTCCATCTTTAGACATTTCAGTTAATTGGGTTTGAGAGGAGGGGTAGTAAGTTTCGTTCAGTTGAAGTTGAGGCCATCTGACTGATGGTGAAGCTCTGCTATAGCTGAACTTTTGCGGGGCATCACTACTACTATCATTATTGTTGCTGTTAAGTTCAGTAGTGGCAGTAGAGGGTGAAGACTGATGTAAAGAGCAAGAAAGAGGTGTGCTTTTGCATACCTTTGAAGGTGGTGATGATATAAGGGCCAGGACTCCTCTGCAAGCCATGCTTCCACTCATTACAGTCTCCCGATATTTTGTGGTGTTTCAGAGGGGATAGGAAATGGAGGGTTTAGGGGTTTGGACCGTTTAGTTCGTTTTTGTTTTCTTTGTTTTGGTCCTTGTGTAGAGGGTTCACATATTCATTGGATGTATCCGGGGTTGTTTGTTTGCTTTAAAAATAATTTTTTTAAAATAATATTTTAATTTTTTTTTATTTATTTGTCATTAAATTTTAAGTTAATTAATAAAGAATTTTATTTATTTATTTTTCATTAAATTTTAAGTTAATTAATAAAGAAATATTTTTTTAATTAAAAATTTTAATTTAATTTTTTAAAAAATATTTTACTTTTATTTTGAACAAAAAATATGATTCTAAAAATTATAAAAAAATTTAGAATCATATTATTTGTTAATTATATCAAATTTAATTCTTAAATTTTTTATTAATATATATTTTATTTAAATTTTTTATTTTCATTTCTTAAAATTTTATTTAATTTAATTTATTTTTATTTCTTAAAATTTTATTTAATTTAATTTATATATTTAATTAAAATCAACAATGTTAATTAAATCACAAGAAACCTGATTAAATTTCACCATATTAATATCTTTTCAGGTAGTTGATGTGATGAACTTGAAAACTTAACCTAAATCATGTTTTAATCTAAACTATATTTGACATTAATCTAACCAAACTTAATTAATCAAATATTAACCTAATTAGTCAAAACCAAGAAATTATTTAAAAAATAAATAAAACCAAATCATTTTAATAAAATAAAAAATTGACATAAATTGACGCTATAACCAGGAAGTAACCTGACAGGTCAAGGACCGGCCCTTTACCAACCTGACAACCATGCTAGTAATAATGAATATTCTTTCATAATAAAAAATGCAAGCACAAAGTGAATCAAGGCCGGCTGCTCCGACCACATTCTTGTCAGCATCATAGTTTGGGTGTTTTTTAAAGTTTTTTTTTAAATTATTCTTTTTTATTTTTAAAATCAATATATAAAGATCATAAATAAGACAACTTTTAGAATGCACCCCATTAGTGTGTCCTCTCTTGCTTGAATGCTTGTTACAATGAACGCAAAAACAAAAAGGTCATCCGCACAGCGAGTTCGGCTCAAATAAAGAAGAAATAGAGCATGCATAATTTAGGTGGCGCCAAGCAAAAATGAAAGAAATGAAAAGGGCCGGATTCCAGCAGAACAATATTGACATAAAGAGCATGTATAATTATGAACAACATTTGTTAATGATCACAAAAGGATCGTTTGAAGGCAAACAACAATCCCTACATAAGACTCGAGGCCTCTTTAGGGTCAATTTATGACAGGAAAAAAAAATCAGCAGCCTGAAATACCAGCAAGAAATAGACAGAAAATCGATGCCCCTAAAGAGGACAACCCAAACCTACACACCAGATCTCATATATTAAAAATTAAAAAAATATATAGAATTGTCCGCAGAAATCCACATGCAAAGGAAACCAAACTGTGCAAGTTGCAGAAATTCCAACACGAGAAACTGACTTCTTTGGTTTAGGTCTCCGGAGCAGCAGGAGCAACTGATTTTAAAAGTGGTTGGAGAGCCTTGACAACAATGCTCATATTTGGCCGGAACTCAGATTCATACTGCACGCATAATGCTGCCACGGCTGCCAACTGCAAAAAGGGAAAACAACCATAGCATGAGAAGCTAACAAACTGCATACACATGGCCACGCCTGTGCACATGGTGGGGACAAAAATAATGATTGTGTGCAGAATGCGCTAGCATAGAGCTCAAATTCAATTGTTGACAACATCCATGAGAGTAATGATACCTTGGCAACTCCTTTAGGGGGATATTCCCCCTTCAGCTTTGGATCTACACATTGTTTAACTTTGTCTTCACTCAGTCTTGGAGTAGCCTACAAAAACCAAGTTAAATGTCAAAACATTCAAGTCCGGAAGAAGAATGATTAAAATAGAAAGGTGCTAAACGGAAATGAATAGATATTACTTCCACAATTGAGGCAGAAAACTCACCCAAGTAACAAGACTCTGTTGCCCACGTGGCATGGTGTGATCAACAGGTTTCCTCCCGGTAAGAAGCTCTAGGAGAACTACTCCAAAACTGTAAACATCACTCTTCTGTGTCAATTGTCCAGTCATTGCATACCTGCAAAATAGTTATCAAGCTAAAAATCAGTTGCATCCTATAAGCAATAAAAGTTATTTACAGATATTATATGAGATGAAGATGCAATGAAATGGAAATTGCAGAATATGCAAATAAATATTTTAGAGAGAAATTTTAGACATCCAGTAAACAGCACCCATCAAAAGAAAAAATCTTATGCTACAGTGCAGTAGAAGGTCCACATTGCGTTCATAAACCATCACTGCAGATAACATCAAATATCACATCTCAGCTATTATCCATAAAATTGGTAATGTCAAAAGGTAAAGTCAGAAGTTCAGAAGGAAAAATAACTTCCAACATCCAGCAGGCAATACAATAGAGAAGTAACACAACTTGTCCAACTTCTCTGATCATTCAAAAACATTAAATCTAACCTATCTCGATAAACACAATGATGTTACTGAACCTTATCCATATAGATAAAATTCTCCAAGCATGGAATGATTTGGCTAGCACATATTGGGATCGCTCAACAGCAAATTGTGCTTATAAACTGTACTTTATGAAAACACTTGTAGCAGTTTGCAATGAAGCGTGCACAGAAATAGCTACAAGTAGAATAAACATGCAACATAATTGAAGAGTTACAGAAGCCTTACTCAGGAGCATGATAACCGAAGGTTCCTAAAACTCGAGTTGAATGAAGGCGGGCAGCCATGTCAGGAGCCTGATTTGAAAGGTTAAAGTCTGCAATCTTCGCTTTGAAGTCTTCAAAGAGGAGCACATTGCTTGATCTGATATCTCTGTGTATTATAGCTGGTTGTAGCTTCTCATGCAAGTATTCCAATCCCCTTGCTGCATCAACTGCAATTTTCACTCGCTGAATCCAGTCGAGCACTGGTCCTGGCTGTGCACCTTGAACTCCCTTTCTACCTGCCATTGCGAGGATATATAAAGTTAAATCGATTATATTAGAATGTAAATGATGAACAGACAAGATGAGCTCATACCATGCAATATGTCATGTAGGGATCCCATTGTTGCAAACTCATATGCAAGCACTCGGAGATTTCCTTCTACACAGTACCCGAGTAACTCCACAACATTTTCATTCTTCAACCTTGAGACCATGGAAACCTGGGTAAAAAATTTCAGATGTCTTAAGAGACCAAAAGGAACAAATTGCAGGGTGCAGAACAGAATAGAAAAAGATAAGAAACAGATAATTGGATACATGTCCTTCCTTTCCCTTTAAAATGAAGCACACCTGAGTCAAAAATTCAAAATTTGTCTCCGGCTCGCTTGCAACATCAAGTTTTTTTACAGCCACAGCTTTTCCATTTTCTAAGCTTGCATAATAAACTCTTCCATAGGAACCTTCACCAATCAATGCTTTCGACCCAAAATTGTCAGTCTTCTCTTTCAGTTCTTCCAAAGACAATGCAGGCACTTCAATAGGTGGTGCTTCCTTCTGTAATTCAGCTTTGACAGGAGCTGCTACTTTTGAGCCTTTAGGATACCCTAAAGTTCCGCAAAAGGAAAGCAAAATAGAAAGTTCAAAAAGAGCAACCATGCACAATCAAATAAACCCCAGAAATATGACTGAGCAGGACTTGGAAGCAGACGTAATGAATAAAACTTCTTGTTGATGCATGTGTAACATGTAATTGGCACCAAAATCAAAATTCATGATTGCTCAAAGATAGGATATGTCAGAGCCTGCTTTAATGAAATTATCAAGAAATAGCACGATTAGGTACAGCATTCAATATGAAAACTGAAATCAATAATAAAAGTGATAATATCTATGTGCTATGCACCCCCATTAACATTTTAGAGAAAGCTGCTGCCTAGAGAGAGCATAGCCAAATTGTATTCTGAAAGAGACAGAATCTAGGTTGTAGGATCATAACCATCATCTTTAAGTCTCTCAATTCTGAGAATCAAATTTACATGCTGTTACCAGAGATGTGAACACATAGCCTGCACAAAACTACAAAGACCAGATTGGCAAACAACACAAAATTTTGCATGCAATAATATAGTTTCCGTCTATATCATTGAACTTAACCATTCAAAAATGTTAATCCAACCACTGCACTCCCTGACAATAGGAGAAAGAAACCTTAAATAGACCAAACCCTCAACTTTCTTTAGAATCCCATCATAATTATTAAAATCAACATGGATGCAAATTCTTTTTTCCCTCCCCTTTGCTTCCCTTATTACCAGCAACTGTTAAACAGAAGATAATCTAAGGTTCAGAGTACTTTACCATCTCCGTAGTTTCCCGGGCTTCTTAAGCGCTCGCTCTCATATGGTGGGTACGACTCCTCTACCTGACAGGTACAACAAAGCCACCGACGCATCTTGTCTTTTTTCCTTGGAAATAACTCGTCTCCGCCCCCTTCACCACCTTGTGTTCTCTCCAATCGCACAAAGTGCCCAGGAGATGGCGCATGTACCTATACATTCAACAACAACAACAATAACAGAAATCAAAAGGGAAAAAACAATAAAACTCCAGAAAGGATAAAAATTTCAAGAACGAAACGAGATTCACCTTATAAATTAACCCAAAAAATTCGAAATTAATCATTTTCTACCATTAATTTACGTTAACACACAATATAATAAGTAAAACATCAATTATACCATTATGATGAAAAAACCCATTAACGCAATTAATCAAATTAAAGACAGTATTTAAATTTTACTGCAACAAATCTCTATCTCAAACTTGAATTAATTAATTAATTAATCAAACCCTACCCCATAATTACGATGAATATAATCCTTGTCCATCAACAACAGAAAAAACAAACCCTAAAATTTGGGTAGGAAAAAAAATAGAAAGTAGAGCGGGTGCTAACTTGTAATGGAAATAATTGACATTTCAACTAATTTGTAAAAAAAAAAAACTTATAGAAATACTTAATCGGTCAAAATTTATGAGTACAAGTAATTATATAGGGAAAAAAATACAAGTATTCGATTGGGAAAATCATATAGTATGATAGCTTCATATCTTTAAATAAATGAAACATAAAAGTACTATTAATTGAGTTTACCTGACAGAGAGTTGATTGTTACAATAATATTCTTATAATAAAATTAATTAAGTTATTTGATTGATTAAATTTTATAAACACTAGTATTTAAATAAATAAAAAATAATACACGTATTCAAAAAAAAAATCACAAGATACATTATGTCGGCAATTTGTTTTTTAGCTTTCAAGGATATATATATATATATATATATATATATATATATATATAT